ACGCACTGGTTGTACAGTCTAGATTTTAAGTTTTGGGGTATACAAGAAGGTATGCCGTAATTTCCCAAACGTTGCCCAGTCGAGTTGAATCCGTCGATTGACCTCGCGGTCGAAGTTGGAATTACTTAGTCGGACTATTTGTACCAGGTAAACATACTCGTCAACAACTTCGAACTTAGTGTCCCCAGCAACTACCGGCATAGGTGTGACATGGACATTAAACATGATCTTTATTTTGTCCCTGTTCATCTTAAGATCTATCCGTTGGGAGCCACTATTGAGGTCATTGAGCATAGTGCTTAGGTTCTCCAGTGATACTGCCATAAGGACTATATCGTCGGCAAATCGAAGGTGACTAATGTACTCGCCATTGATATTAATACCGTAGCCTTTCCAGTCCAGAAGCTTAAAAATGTCTTTAAAATGCAGTTCCGAAGGTGAAGAGTTTCGGAGATATTAAGTCACAATGCCTTACACCTCTCTGCAGTTGGATAGGTTTCGTGTTCTGGTTCCGTACTCGGATACCCATCGTAGCCCTACTGTATAAACACTTCAGCACTTCGATATACCAACAGTCTACTTGGTACCGCTGGAGGGACTGCAGCAACGCCCAAATTTTGACGGAATCAAAGGCTTTCTCATAGTCTATATACGCAAGACAAAGTGGCAGATTGTTCTCTTCGGTCTTCTGTACAATTTGCAGAAGGGTATGTATGTGCTGAAAGTAGGGTGGTGGTCTATGGTGCTAAAGCCTTCTCGAAAACCGGCTTGTTCAGGAGGCTGGAAGTCGTCGAGTCTGAATGCAAGACGATTCGTAATCACTTCCGAAAACAGCACGTAGACGCGGCTGAGAAGAAAAATCGGTCTGTAGTTCTTCAAGAGAGCGTTGTCGCCTTTCTTGAAGAACAAGACCACCGCACTTCTGCTCCACGAGGACGGAATTAAAGAGCTTCTGAAGGACATTAAGTACCAGTTTTCCACCCGCTTTCAGAAGCTCCGCTGTAATTCCATCCTCGCCCGGGGACTTGCCGTTTTTAAGGTATTGGAGAGCCATTCTAATCTCGCTCAGACTGACGTCCGGGATATCATCGCAATAGTGTCAGATAAGACCACACTTGCGTGTGGCTCCAACGTTGATGTGTATAGCTTCCCATAGAACCTCTCAATCTCACTCAAAATCTCAGCTTTCCTGGAAACGGTGACTCTCAGGTTTTAACAGTGGTAGAGCCACGCGGCAGCTTTTGATGTCGCACGGATGGGCCGGCTCGAACCGGGGTGGTACCACGACCTCACTGAATACCAGCGTGAAGTAGAGGTTTACCTCTGCGTTTCGCTTGGTGAGTAAAGGTGACCGGAGGCCCTTTTTACTGGAAATGAGGCATTCCATCCTAGTCCTCACGGGTGAAAACGCATCTGCGTTTTGATTTGTAATAGAGGATAGATGTAGATGTCTATGGGTCGCAGCAACCACTTACCATCAGGTGGACTGTGTGCTCGTTTGTCACCTATTATCCTATAAAAAAAACGATCCTGCCACACTCGATCTTCAGCTTCGACAGTTAGTTCTGTCTGGCAGACAGATCTCTAGCAAAGACTTTGGAGCCCTGGTATTGCTCCATTGCTTCTTCAATACGTGCTGTATTGAAGTTGCGTAAGTCCCACCGCATGCATTTAGAGATCTGTCTGTTCAGTTTCCTGTACGCTGTCGCATCCGCTGAAGACTGCAGCTTAATTTCTCGTCTAACAGCCATGAGATAAAGAGGGTGATCGGTGGTTGTTTATGTTCGTCTGCGGCGTGTCTTGCAGAACTTAGCTCCGACCGCATGGACAGTTTCCACGAGCTTTGTCATTCATATATGTCCACTGCACTGCAAACTTCCAGGCATTTAAAATGGTTTTGTAGCTCGAGCTGAAAGGTTTTAGACTTCATAAGACGAGACCTCTCTAACTTAACGTTTAGGTTCAGTGTGGCTCTAACTATTTGGTGATCGTTACCAGTTTTCACCCTCGTAATCACTGAGATATCACTAAACAGTTGTGGTCTGGTCGTCGTAATGAAGTCAATCTCATTTTTTGTCGAACCTTCGATGCTCGATCGTGTCCACTTCCGGTGAGGTCGCTTCTGGAAGAAAGAGTTAATCATAAAGAGTCCCTCTTTTTCCATGATGTCGGCCAGCTGCTGGCCTCTTGGGTTCCATTGCCATATTTCAAATAGCCCTACTTTCAGCTCATCGTTTTCTCTTGTGCCTAGTTTTGCGTTGAAGTTTCCCACTAAAAACGTATAGTGGGTCTTGGAAGAATGCGTGGCTCTAGATAGATCCTCATATATTTCCTCCACCTTCTCAGTGGGATGTGCCGAGGTTGGCACGAAAACCTGTATGACCTTCAGCGAAAATCGTTTGGTGATTCTGAGTATAAGGTACGCAACCCTCATCGACACACTCTTAATCTTTACAACGTTGTTAACGCGAGACTTGTAGACTATAAATCCGACACCTCCTTAGGACAGATGGTCGCCCTTCCGGTGATAGAAGAAGTTGCCGGATTCTCTTCGCACCTCAGATAATCTTTTAATATTCCAGCGCAACTTGTCTATCTTTTCTTCCAGCTCCAGGATCTTCTCCTCAGTCCTCAGGGTGCGTGCGTTATATATTGCCAGGTTGAGTCGTCTTAGGTGGCAATCAAACCTCCACTAGAGATTCTTAGCACCCCCCGCCCCGCCGTTACCATAGTCGCCACCGTAGCCAGGAATAGCGGGGCTGCCGGGGAATGGGGGCCGTCTATTCGTAACTTTCATCATCGGGGGATATTTGCCACAGTTGCCACTCTTGGCGAGCGGGTTGGCAACCGCAGTTTTTTATTGTAATATTGCTGTTCTTAGGAAGATGCTGCTGCCCATCTCCTGCCTGTTTCCCACTGTCACTTTCTACGACACCCACGGGAAGATATGGGGTAGAAGATATTCTTAACTACATTTTGTTGAATATATATGATTAAAATATAATGAAAACTGAAAGTTATTATTCAAGTGCATTAAAATTTATTATTGAAGTGGTAAAAATACGATGGGGCTTGTTTATTAATACCATTACCGAATTTATTAGGAGGGATTGTATTTATTTATTTGTATTTTATTAAGTAGTTACCTTACAACGGTCGCGGGAAAAAAGTATCGTGTCAGTTAATAGAGTTTTTTTTTTATAATTTGTATTCAAGTCACTTTTAAGGCAGGTTCACATTTAATCATCTTGGTGTATCGTATCTCTGTCGCGTGCCGAAGATGTCTATTATGGTAGCTTGTTTTGATGCAAAATTATACGTGATTATGTGACATAGACTTTTGATATCGTTTCTGATAGATCTCGTTCCACACAAAACATCATATCTGATACATCTCGTATCGGATACTCTTATTATAATCGAGAGTATGGATATATTTTAATAATGTATCACGATACAGCGATGTGGTATGAAATTAATTATATCTATTTCTTTGACGTAATAAAATAAATATAATTGTACGAAATGAGGTTCCTTTGACCGGAGAAGAAACAGCGAAAGAAACTCCGCAGGTGTCCTTTTTTCAAGTTAATATTACATAGCATTTTATATATACAGAATGTAAAATAACAACAGACCAATCGGTAACTGAAATGTGTTCTATGATGTACTCATAAAAGACGATTAAAAATAGACAAGCGGCATCTGTGTACTGTGATGTAGCAGCCATTGCCAACATTGAAATGGACAACCCGCTACACGCCGCTGCCCCAAGTAGATACCTTTAAGCGAGCATTACATATTCAAGTCCATCACAAACAGATGAATCTTAGAAGAAAACAAAATTAACACTTTTTTACTGCACGCTTGTTATTTTCCTTGGAACTACTTACAGTTCTCTAAAAAAAAACTAACTATGTTAATGTAATTTTGAAATTTCCTTTTGGAAATGGTTAAAAAATTATATTATATGATACCGGATATACCGAGTCTCATCTTTAGTCCGTGTTTTGCGATCATCAAAGGATTTTAAATACCGTTACAAGTCTTGAAACGCTTAGACGTGGAAAATTTTAACGGACACAGAAGCATTTTAAACTCCACTTATAAAGAACGTTATGCCGATACGCACATTGTATGATATAGTTCTTAGTCGGGTTATAAGTACTGTCAAAACCTTATTATTTAAAATTTTTGAATACTGGGCTAGATAAACTTCACAAATTTAAAAAATTTAACGAATGCGATCTCCAAAAATAAAAAAGACATTAATTTTTTCATTCATTTTAAAATATGGAGTGGTCGAAGAATGGAGATAGAGTAGCGATTATCGCGTTGCACCCCTGTGTTTTACGCGCCAAAAGAGATTTTCAATATTCTACAAAAATTGAAAATAACCTTACGATTTGTTAAACGCACTATCAAAAGATTTACTGAAGATTCAAGTTTCGAAGGTCGTTAGAGGACCGGCCGACCTCGTACAATTAGGACACCCGCGATCATCAAAATAGTGAAGGCGCGATTCCAACAAAATCCTGTTCGTAAACAAAAAATCTTAGCTCTTTAGATGGGCCTAAGCAGAACCACGGTCAAAAGAGTGATTAATGAAGACCTAGGACTACAAGCTTATCGTAAGAAGGCCGGACAATTTTTGAACGAGCGTTTGAAAACAAAAATAGGCTGGATAGATCCCGCGCTTTGTACCGGAGGTACGCGGGAAAAAATGCCGCGAAATTTTGTTTTCGGATGAAAAAATTTTTAAAATCAAAGAAAGTTATAATAAACAAAATAATAAGGTGTATGCCTACAGCAGTGAAGAGGCCAGCACGCGTATTTCGAGGGTTCAACGAGGTCATTATCCTTCGTCACTCATGGTTTGACTTGGAGTCTCATATTCAGCCTTAACTGAGGTGTTTTGCTGTGAAAAAGGTGTACGAAAATACCATCCTAACAAACATAGTGGAACCTCTTTTTCAAAAATGTTCTAAAACGGACATTGGATGTTCCAACAGGACTCTGCACCAGCTCATAGGGCACGAAGCACACAAAACTGGTTGACCGCTCGTGGAATTGACTTTATCGGACGTGAAGACTGGCCCTCTTCTAGTCCAGATTTAAACCCACTGGATTACAAATATGGCAAAATTTGGAGGTGAAAGTCTGCGCTAAACCTCATCAGAATTTGGAATCTCTCCGAGCATCTTTTGATAAAGCAGCGGCTAAAATAGATACGAATGTGGTGCATGCTGCGATCGATGATTGGCCGCGTCGATTAAGGGCATGTATTCAAAATTGGGGAGGGCATTTTGAATAATGTAAATAAAATTGTATTCTAAATTAAATTACCTTTCATTTCATGTATTACTTCTATATAATTATCAAAAATTTATCATTAATTTTATAAAAAAGTTTTTGACAGAACTTATTGACTTGACTTAGTATATTAATTATGGACACGTTTGTGACACGATACTAGTAATATACGATATACGGTCGAAATATGTGCCCATGCTTAAAATGCAATCATTGCAATATGCCTGATTAAGATACGATAAGATTAAATGTGGTCCCGGCCTAACGTTAATATTAATTTTATTATCATGCTTTTATTAGATTCGCGTGTATCTACTTATCTATCTATTTAACGGAATCATTTAATGTAATTTTCAACAACTTGTAGACGGCTTAACTTGAAAGCTTGCACTCGTATCAAGGACCGATGTGAAAACAATAATTTAATAACGTTATCCTAATATCCTGATCAGAATCACCAGGATAAAGCAAAATAATTGTCAGAATTATCCCACCTCATGATCAATGCGTGTTAAGTTTTTTTAAATATAATATTTTATTTTAAAATTATACTAAAATATATATTCCAGGTTTGAAAATAACGAAGCTGATATCACGCTCCACTGTGACATACTAATCAAAGGCAAATACAAAGCTAACGGACAAATACTTATTGTTTCACTTAATGGTGATGGAGACGCAAAACTGAAAATAAGTAAGAATAACTTTTTACTTTTTAAATTGTAATTAAATATACACAACGAGCTAAATTCATAAATTGTATACGAAATTACAACTAGAGGAAATGAAGATTAAAGTTATATTAATGTTTAGCTAAAATATATTATGTACGTAGTATAGATATAACTATCAAGTTTAATGCACTAATAAGTAGGTATTTATTTTTCTAGCGGATGTTCTATTGAAAGCAAAGCTTAAATTTGCGGACAAGGTTCGTGACGGAGTAACTCATTATGATGTTAAGCACTACAAAGTATCTTACATGATCAGAGATAAAGTACATTTTGATCTTACGAATCTTTTTAAAGGAAATCCTGAAATCAGTAAGTATTCCATTATATCTTGATCATAATAACATTTTTACACAATTTATATAAACAAATGTTTCTTTCAGGTCAAACTGTTTTAACATTCCTTAATGAAAATTGGAAAGAAGTCGTTAATGAATTTGGGGGACCAATTGTCGATTTCGTCATTAACCTAGCATTTAAAAATGTTCAGCAATTTTTCAAAAAAATTCCTAAAGATGAGCTTATCGATGTATAAAAGGCTTAATTTATAAAAGTATTAAAGTAATTTACGTGTAGTACTAGTGATTACAAAAAACTGTTTTGTAAGATACATTAAAATTACATGTTTATTTATATAAAATTTCTCTTTCGGTTTCTGTTTTTTGTAAATTATTATCTAATTAAGTCAAATGCAAAGACGTACATAATATCATATATTACCATTATAATTTAAAAATACATTTAAGTGCATCGAAGTTATTATGTTGAACGTTTCTAATAAAACTTATTAAATCGTGTTAAATAATACTAAGTTTAATTTCGACCCTTGCGAATTCATCACTAGAAAGATTTAGCGGGATCTTCAGGTTCTTTTGTAAGTTATAACTGCTATCTATGATAATGGATAAATAGAAAAAAGAGTTAAAAAAATTAATTCTTCCTAACACTAGGATTTTCTCCTGTATCGTGGGGGCAGTTTTCATACATAAATTTCACAAGGACAAACATCCATACCCGGAACAATTACTTGTAGGCCATACAAATACTTGTTCCGTGCGGGATTCGAACCCGCGGCCCTTGGTGCTGCAACTTATTGCTGAGCCCATGCGCCACGGAGCCGTCGTCATCAATATTCTTCGTTCATATATAGTTCATAATATATTACTAGTTCTCCTTCAGAATACTCATTAGCACGGACATACAAATTACGACTAAGGTTCCCACGCAATGAAAAGTGTGCTATTAATTGTTTTATGCATTTTACCTATCAAATGTAAAGGGTTCAAGTATCTTACCTGTATAAATGAGTATGGAAATGTGTTTTTTCCTAAGATAATATCCTTGGCAATACCTATGGAAAACATGTTTACTGTCATAAATGTTATAAGTTTTGTGATTTTCATTTTAAACAAAAAAAATATATATAAAAATTAGAATACAAAAAATATCGGTATAAATGAACTAAATTGCAATTTTAAATTATTTTCTGAAAATTTATACGTTAACTAAAATTGACGCAGCAATCTTCTTTATAAATATTTTATGATATAGAAATTTTGTATTGTTGTATTAGTAGTAGTTACTTAGGATTTTGAATTATAACTTACCATCAGAAAAGTCAAATGGGTAAATAAATGAAAAGAACTCAGACATAAATGTAAATGGATGAAATCCTTCTTCTAGTTTAAACTTCGGTATTAAATAGTTTTGCATCTGAGGTAAACTGCTAAATTTTATTTTACTTCGATCCATTTCCTCAGACAATTCCATAGAACTGCTGACTCTTAAGTTATTTTCTGTTACAGCTAAATCTGGAGTTAAATTTATGGAATAGTCACGGTCTTCAAGAATTTCCTTTGTTATAGAAAATATTTCAAAAGATGTTGAATTCGATACCGCAGGAGGTGTTGTTGATTGACTGAGCAAAGTCATATTATTTGCCTTTTCTATTCGTTCTTTCTTATTGGCAATTGTTAAATTATTATACTTTTCTAACCAAGCCTTTACAGCGACTGAGTGAATAGCATCCGCATCTCTTTTATCCCAAATATTTCCGACTATTTTGTTATTGTTCATTTGTAAGTTTTTGGCAATTTCCATTTCATTTTGATGTTTAGAATTTATTTTATTATGATCTTTAAGAACCGATTCCATGCAGTTTTCCCATATTAAATTTAGAGGTTTCGGCAAATTAACTTCGTTTCTCATTTTTGAACTGTTGTAGAAAGGAAATGCCATTTTATTTTCTCCCGTAGATATTTTATTGTACGTTCCAAGTAATTTGACATTTCCTTCATCTGCATCGCTATATTTTCCATCGTTAGATTTTTTTCTGAATAATAAAATAGGGGAGATTGCCAGGAAATTTTCTTCTTGTACTTCCAGAGGCTTACTCAGAGCACCGCTAGAAACGTCATTTAGATTGTTTCCGGCGGAGGCCGCGGGCGCCTTTTCCGATGTCGTCCGGATTTGTTGAATTTGCAAAGCAGAAACGTCTTCTGTGTAACTTGTTAATAACGTATTTTTCGCATTAAATGTATTCAATTTAGTACTGAGTTTTATAGATTTAGCTCCGTTTAATAAGAAAATTACGAAAAATATAACCATTGTAACCATTTTCACAAAAGTTTTTTTTTAAATTACAATTACATTTCACTACAAAGGAATAAGCGTTATTAGTTCGTCACTAGCAAAGAACTGATCGTAGAAGTGTGGGGCATTGTACAGAGGATTTGTAGCACTTAACGGTCTGCCTGACGACGGTGTACAATCGTATCATGTCGGCCACAATATGCTTTTACTGGATTATACACAGAGTAGTTAACTCCGTTTATAAGTAATTTTCATTGAATATTTTAAAATCGTCCATTAAGTACGGTTCGTACAATAGAAATCCAGAAATTAAAATGTTTAATAATCATAAATAATATATTACTAAGTGTCAACACCGCTAAAATAGTTACCAAAAATGGACCAGTTGAATTAAAAAGGACTTAGCGCATTAAGACATGTGCTTTGATTCCTTATTGTGTGGTCCGTAGTGTGTTGTGGCGAATTCGAAAGTTTGCGGTCCGCACCGTATCATTAGGCTACTGTCGCAGGCTAAATCCTATAGATGTATACAATTGTCCCTTTTTAGTGTCGCTTTTTCGTTTCACCCAGTTCCAAGTCACAACGACGCGAAAGAAGTTTTCACTTCAAAAATATAATTGGTAGACTAAAAGCATAGATCGAACAACAATGTATTAATTAGTACCTAACGCAATAACATAAGTATTATTTCCTAAACCTAAATTATACGCTAATCAAAAATATTTTCATACTAATTAAAACCTCTAAAAATTCATTACTCTGTAGTTTGAGTCCTCAAGTCACTTGTCACTGGCTATAATACGACGCGGTGAAAAGCGTAAAAAATACAAATATTTTTTGTTCGTCCACAACTGGACATGACATTCTCCGTTAGGGAGAATTTGCCTTTATTGCCTTAGATGAATTGGAAGTCGATGGATGCAGGTGGCTCGGGACCAAAAGTTGTGGCATTCCTTGTGGGAGGCCGATGTTTAGCAGAGAACTTATGAAGGCTCGCAATGATGATGATGATGGTGATGCCGTACTTGGTAGGCGGACTAGCAATCGCAGTATCTAGTAGAGGTCTCACACATTTGATGCTGCCCCCATTGCCAGTCTGAGTATTTTATGTCTAACGAAAACGGTAAGAGGTTGTATTGCCAACTATTGGACTTGATAAGATGTTTCACGTATTCACCTCTTACGGGATAAAAGGGATATATGGATCTTTTATGCTGCACCACATAGCTAATCTTTTTTAATGTTCCTTACATAGAATAATATAAAAATCCACAAACACGCACTAGAGTAGCGCCGGGGACTAATTGCTCTATAGCCCACTTAGAAATGAGAGCAGGTCTCAACCCAGCAGTATGATATATGTCTGTAAATAAACTTACTTTACAATATACTACTAATAACGTATACTACGAGTATATTTGAGAAGCCAGAAAATAACTTATTAATGTTGTGGGGTAACATATTTATTAGACCCTAATAATTTTTTTTTGCCATAGCAATATTTGTTACCTGTGTGAATCGGGCCAATGCTATTAAACATTACTAATATTCCCTGTAACCACTTCTGGTAAGCTTAAAATGTTTGTGTTAGAAGTGGTTCACGACAGTAGTCGAATGTCTTTGTTTTAGATTTCATACTTGGCAGCATATATTAGCAGGATATATAATGTTTCCTATACAAATTACACCCAGACCGACAATGTGAAGCAGCGTCAGTCAGTTAGTACTAATAACGGTAAATCTTCTTCATTTAAGGAGAGTATCATGTCTAAAAATGAATGATTTTGCGATAAAGAGTGGATAAGGACAAATTTTGCGGTTCAATAATAAAATGTTCGTGTGTTGGCAGCGACTATATACGGATTGGTCTATTCAAAAATCGTTCAATTACAAGCTCTTCTCAAGCCCTAATCATCTCTCATATTTATTTATTTTTATATATAAAAAATACGTGTCACGCTGTTTGCCTGCGATGAAGTGAAGTGAAGTGATTTCAATAAAATTTTGCACACTATGTGTGCAGTTTGGTCCAACTTGAGAGATAGGATAGTTTTTATCCCGATAAGTGACCCTCAATTTTTTTATTGCTAATCTCAGGAGTTTTTTTTGGAAAACAAATGGTCGTCGGAAAGGGCAGTACAACGTCTGCCTGGTCAGCTAGTTATTATATATATCATTAATATTGGTTATACGTAATCACCGACTTTTCAAACGAAATCATGATAATTTTTTTAATCTTAAATATTACTAAGAGTCATGATAATGATATTTTACTTTTGATAAATAATGAATGTAAAGAAACAATTCATTAAAAAGATTTGAATAGAAAGATTCAGAAAAAGATTAATAACAATTTTATACAAAATAATACATTTTAAAAACGGTGCTTTTTAAAGAATTTAACCTAAACACTATTTAAACATAGAGAATTGGGAGTAAACAAAAATTAGATTTTGAACTACATTTTAAACCTATGGCAAGTTTTAATCATGTAAAATTCAGTGACATAAGATCAGAAAAGAAATCGTCATTGACAAATAGTCAAAATATGGGTATGATAAAGTTACATGTGTAAAAAAATTTAATTACGGCTACATCAAATAAAAACACTGAATAGCAGCATAGTAAAAAATGTAAAACATACAGGATGTCGACAGAAGCAGGTGGCTCAGGACCGTGTTTTGTGGCATTCCTTGTGGTAGACCTATATGATGATGAATGATGATGATGAAACTTAATCGCACTTATATAAAAGGCGATAAAATAAATAATTATGTATTATCTCAACTACTTTTCAAATTATCCTAATAATTTTAGGCAGACCCTGGATTTTTTTTCAAAAAATAGAATTACAGACACAATTTTATACAAACTCGCTAAATGAATAGTTCACACAGAAAAAATGCAGATATATAATATAATCAGTACTGCGTCAAGCAAATAAAATGAATCATTATTAAAAAATCTGTACGTGTAAGGCCGTATACAGAAAGAAAGCTGGCAACCTATCATCGCTTATAGGGATCGGTCCACGCAGGAAACCGGCGCAGGCATTTATATGAACAGGCGCCGATAAGCGCCGATAAGCGCCGAACGTCGCCGACAAGTTCCGACAATCTACGAAACGCGCCGGTCGGCGCTGGCGCCGCCCGCTATTTAAAATTAATGAACAACTATAGAGTCGGAGAGCTGGCTAAGAAAACGTGAAATGATAAGGTGTAGTAACGAATTATATATATATATAACCTCTCCTTGGTAGCTTATAAGTACAGAGCGAGGCCCGTCAGAACTCTCTCTACAGAAAAATTTAAAATATGGCCAGAAGTTGCTGAAGCAGCTATCGCGATGAAAAGGAACGTTTCGAATCTAGTTTCAAAATTACCGTCGAAATCTGTATACCTGCCTCCTGTTTTGACAAAAGAGGGTCTAAGCACATTCATCTGGAATGGAGGAATTTTTCTGTACTTAGCCATTATTTAGCCTTCTGACAATTTATATACAGGTTCGATAAGCAACAAATAATATAAAAATGCATTTGTCAGAACTGCACCTTGTGGTTTAAATTTAAACAATTTCTTTACAACTTTGTCGATTTCTGACAGTCTTTAAGCCCTGACCTAGACTTCTGACAATAATTTTCCTAGATTCCTACAGTTAAAAACTATAACTCTACCAAATTTCAGAACTGCACCTAATTATTTTTTTCTCATTGAAAATTTACGACTTTGACCGCCCACCCACGCCTTCCGCCCCGGGATAGAGTTCTGACGGGCCTCGCTCTGTACTTATAAGCTACCAAGGAGAGGTTATATATGTAATTCGTTACTACACCTTATCAGTTGACGTTTTCGTAGCTAGCTCTTAGACTAATACGACAACACGTACAATTACGACACGCATATATTTTTGGTAAATAGAGAAATGAATAGTGACGTGTTCATTGTACGGAAGACGGCATATCAAGGGTAACACAACTCAAAGTGTTACGCTTGATCTGCTGTTGACTGTACAAGTGTATATTTAAACCACATATAAACCTAAGATGTTTTTAAAGTATAGATACGTCATATACTCGATCTAAAATGGCAATACAAAAGTCAGGTAATTGCCTGACTCACATTCAGTCGGGTACGCTCTCGCGTCGCGTCTATACCTTCACTACAGCGCTTAAATCTTCTAGTTATTCGTGGCAAAAATGCCTTCCTGTGTTTTAAGGTGGTGCACAAATTACACGGCAACTATTAGAGACAAGAAAAACGTCTCATTAATATTTTAAATATTTCTTGAGTCATTCTTGTATATCTTTAGAATTTTTGATCATCCAATTTTAATTGTGTTACAAATAAATGATGGTATTCTCCTACACATTTCCTTTCTCTATTAACAGAATGTATAGCTTATTTTCGCATTTTAAAATACACATTTTCTAACAAAACTAATTCATCGTCCGATGAGTACGACATTTTGCTCGCTCAGCTTCAATCGGCTTGCTTTATGTAACTGTTACCAGAATAGACAAGTGCCGATAAGCGCTGCTAGATCGGCGCTGGCTACCAGCTTTCTTTTTGTATACGGCCTTAGGGAGGAATCCTATCACCGTAAGTTTTTCCTTTCAATGGAGCTCTACAAATATAAGGATATATTATTATATAAATTTAATCTAATAAGTATTTAATATATTATTGCAATTAGGTTTTCTAATTTAACATATACTAGTATGGAAGCCTTACCAATGTAGAGTCGTGATGTGCCTTGTATTGAGTTTCATGACAGCAACTTATAAAAGTCCAACATAATCCGATTACTCCACAATGTCATTTAATCAAGGCACAAAGATAATTGTATAACAAATTTATCGACTTCCTATCTCGTATAAAATAGATCTTTACCTATGAAATTGCCGTTCTGCAGTACTGGTCATTTCAAATCAAAGTAATTTTTGTTTAGCCCATAATTCTAATTTAAAATTAATTTTATTTTAAAAACATGGAATAATGATTTTCAAAATTAGTCATTTATTTATT